AATATATAGTTCTTAAGAGCACAATCCCAAGGACCCATTCTGTCCATCTAGGTTCAAGTACCTACCTTTTCCACCAACTCTGAATAATTCATTCAAGTTATGAATCTATCACAAGATTAATTCACTGATAAGGTTAGAGTCCCCATGATTTAATCACTTCCCCCAATCTCAACCTCTGAACAAGGCTGCATTGCTGCATTGGGTATGAATACTTCAATACATGAGCCTTTGGGGGTCCTCTTCAAATATAAACCATCATATTTTGTCCCTGATCCCCAAAAGTTCATGAACATCTCACAATGCACAATGCATTCAGTCATCTTCAAGAATCTCCATAGTCTTAGAAGTCCTAGAATTTCTTTAAAGTTCAACTTCTAAATCTCCTCTGAGACTGAAGGCAGCTTTTAGCTGCAAAATTTAAAAAAATAACAATTTACATATGTCCAATATACAATGGTGGGGCAGGAAAAATTCCTAGTCCAAAAAGGGAGGAAGGAGGAAATATAAAGGAAGGATTGGATCAAAGAAAGACTGAAACCCAGGAGGGAAAACATTAAATATGGTAGCTTCATGTCTGGCATCTGGGGAACATGGTGGTAACCTATGAGCTCCTAGAGATTAAGCATTCCTGCCTCTATGACCTTGCCAGTTGAAGCCCACATGACCCCTTTTGGGCTGGCTCTGCTCAATTCTTGCAGCTCTCCTCAGCTGACATTCCACATTCTTGGTACCTCTAACTTACTGGGGTGGCCAATTCAGTTTTGACTTCATTGTAAAAGCTTCATTCATTCCCTTCTCATGGGCTGTCCGAGGGAATACCAACCCTGTCACACATTGTCTGTCCTCCAAGGATTTTTTTTCTGAAATCTTGGTAGAAGCCTCCATGTCCCTGTAACCCTTGTATTTTTGCATGCGTGCAAAATCAGCACAAAATGGATGATGCCAAATTCTGCAGGAGTTTGAGCAGTAGTGTGGCTCACTTAGGCCACAGTAGTGGCCTCTGAGTGCCTAGAAAGGGGAGCACAGTGTACTGTACCCT